TTTCCCAAATCAAAGTATTTTTTTCATTAATATATAATTTCAAAAATAAATAGCAATGACATATCATATAAGAACTCATAAGTCATCAGCACTATCATCACTAAGGGGGTCTTTATTTGAATTATCATTATGATGAACTACTATCTTTCCCAAATCATATTATTCTTTTCATTAAAGCAGACTAACACTAATAACTATTACTAAAGATAATGAATACAACAGTATGTCGGGCAGCCGGGGGTCTGAGGGGGCGCTGCCCACTGGCAGGGTTCGACCTAAACAAATTTTTATTTAAGCAAACTAACACTAAACAATTTTTTTTTTGTAAGAGTAATTTTGAAGTTCTGCTTATTTTTAAAGTTCGTAAGTCGTTTGTATGGAAAGATATTGAGCAGTACCGAGCATGCACCTAGTGATACCGAGCATTGTTGTACCGAGTGGTACCGAGCAGTACCGAGCATGTACCTAGCGATACCGAGTGATACCAAGCAGACAAACCGAATAGATATATATTAGGTTAGGTTTTTTTAAAAAATTTTTAAGATGCAGACACCTCTAAAACATGAGGTGAGGCGCGCCTTAGTGAACTTGAGGCATACGCCTCAACGCTATCTCTCATCGCGTAGGCTTTGAGGCTTAAAAGTTTAAAATTGCACTGAGGCGCGCCTCTTATTGCACAATTTTAAATCATAGATATTCGTACTATCCAGACAAGATAAGGTGTGCACTAACGATTCTTGGTTAAATGGAGGGGACATCCTTTGTCTGATTGTTTTTGGGCTGAAGCTAAAAAGTTGCATATTCTTCATCCTAATACCTACTAGCGCGTTACTATAGCTTTCTCATTAGGAGATGAGATTCTTCCACCATGGGAGAATTGATGCAGTCAAGAGTTGCTATTTTATAATTTCTTTATTTTCTACTTGTGTTTCTAGCTTTCTTTCTCTAGTGATTTTTCAGTTTTTTCTGTTGACCCTTCTTTTTCCCTATTGGTCCCTCGGTTTCCCAGCTATCACTTAGTTTTCCTATTATCCACTCATTTTTTATGTTGTCTTCTCGTGTACCTACTGCTTTTTTTTGTCTTCCCTAAGTGTTGTTTGTATTACCTAAGTACTATTAGGTCTTCCCTAAGTGTTGTTTGGTCTTTCTTAAGTGCGAGCTTTTCCTATTATGGCTATTTTTCCCTATGTTACTGTCCTGTTGTTGGTTGCTCGTTTTCCCTACTGTGGCTTCTCGATTTTCTCTTTGCAATATGCAGGAGGCTTTAAATATGGGATATTTTTATGGTTTTTAGTGGCTATTTTGGGGCACATTTATGTGATCTATTAAATGCTATTTTCTCTTATTTATCCTATAAATTGGGGATGATTTTCTTTGTGAAAAAATAAAGGGATTTTAAAGAATTACTGGAATGTGATCATTCAAAAGCTGTGGGTTTTTTCTATCTTACGAGCTGTCTTCTTCTCCCTATCCTTATATTTTCTCTTGGACTTATATCTAGTATTCTCTCCACAGTTCTCATTTCACATGTATCTTTCTTCTCTAAAATTATTATAAGTTTTAACTTGTCATGTCTTGTTTTATTATAAATTGCAAGTTCTGTCAATACTGCTTTGTTGTTGTATTTGTTTGTGTTATTTAAGGTTTATATGAATGAAAAAGGAAGTATGTTATTATTTGCATTCCTAGAGCAAAATTTATTATTAGGTTGCATCATTATGCTTAGTATAACTCAAATTGTAGTTATCTTTATCATTGTAGAGAAAATTTCAGTGTAGTTCACCCATTTCTTCTGTTAAAATTTTTTAACTACAAGTCTGGCCTTGTAACGCTTGCTACTATCAGGTTCTTCTTTCAGCCTATAAATCTACTTATTTTGCAACACATTATTGTCATCTGGTAGTTGTGTCAAATTCCATGTCTAATTCAACTCAAGTGAATGCATCTCATCGTTTCATGTCTTGCTCCCATTTATTTGAATCATCAACTTGAATGGCATCATCATATCACTAGTTCACCACTATCTATCAGTAAGATATAGTATAAGGAAGGAAAATACATTTGTATTGGCTTTGAAATTCTGCTAGGCTTCCTAATTTTATTAACAGGTACAGAGAAACTCTGTGCTTCATCAGCTTTGTCTTCTTGATCATCATCGTCCTTTATTTCAATATATTTGGAAGAATCAATAAGAGTCTCATTTCTATCCTTGTACATTTCATTTTCATTAAATTTAACATCCCTACTCCTGATGAATTTTTTATTCTGATAATCCTAGAATTTATAACCAAATTCATCTGAGTTATATCCAATAAATATATATTTGATAGATTTTGGATCAAGCTTATTCATAGATCCTGCATCAACATGAACATATGATGAATAACCAAAAATATTAAGGTGGGATAAGCTAACCTCTTTTCCACTGCAGGCTTCCTCAGATTACCTCTCATTCAAAGGAACTGAAAGACCATAATTAATTAGATAAATTACAATATTCACTACCTCTACCCATTAACTGCTTGGGTAGACTAGCATGTAACCTCATGCTCCTGGCACATTCAGTGATAGTTCTATTCATGCGCTCTATAACACCATTATGCTATTGTGTTCTTAGAATAGTGAACTCATGTCTGATCGATCCCATTCAAAGCATAATACTCTTTGAACTTTTTATCACGATACTTACCACCATTATCTAATCTGAGACACTTGAGCTTCAAAATATATCTCAAGCTCAACCATGGTGATCCACTTCTTAAAAGCATTAAACATATATGACTTGTATTTTATGAAGTACACATATATCTTCCTACTTTGATCATCAATAAATGTGATAAAATATAAAGATCTTCTATAGAAGTAAATGGAGCAGTCTCCAAATTGACTCATATGACATTCTGATATCAACATCTCCCAGTACAACAATGTTGTAGGGCTTGTTATCCCTGAGATACACTTCACCCAAATCACCTTGAGTATAGTTCTTGAATGCCTCCTTGTAGGACAAGTATGAAAGAAGCACCTTAATCTATCACCCTATATTCATAATTATTCGAAGATAAAATTAGATAATATGATTAAAACTCTTATGCATATACATTTGTAGAGTGATTTTTTTTTTTTGACATCCACCACTGCTTTTCTTTGGAACCATACAACCCTTCTTCAAGTGACCTTTTTTCCCACAGCTCCAGCACACAACTTTTGCTCTTCCAGATATAGACTTTCCTCTCATGGATTTAGATCTCTTTATGCTAGGATTTCTCTCTAAACCCCTTCCTCTTGCTTCAACATTTAGTACAAAATTTGAAGATTCACCTTTCTTCCTATTGCAAACCTCTTCATTAAGCACTAACATCGTAATGTCCTCAAAGTTTATCTTTGAACATCCTAAAGAGTTACTCACAACAGTAAACAAGCCCATCCTAACTTTATGGCAATGAAGATAAGAATAACAATGACCTCACCTCATCATCAAAATTGATGTCAACTGAACATAATTGACTCCTCATTATATGCAAGTTATTCAAGTGTCATTGGGGTGTTATCCAAGATCTTCATATTGAATAACTTCTTCATCAAAACACTTTATTTGAGGTTGATGACTTCTCATACATCTTAGTTAGTGTGTCCATGAGATTGATTGTAGTCTTCTCATTTATAATGTTGAATACAATAAATGAGAAAAGTGAAAGTTGTATCAACCTAGTGCAGTCTGGTTAAGAACATCCCATTCCTCTATAGTCATAGAATCTAGCTACTTGTTGATTCCTTCCAATGGTAAATACAACTTCTTATGATACAACAAATCTTTAATTTGCATCCTCCATAATGCAAAGTTTGAACCATTGAACTTTTCAATCTTGTACCTTGCTTCATCTACCATTACTCCAACTCAATAAGAAGAACCTTGCTCTGATACCAGTTGTTGGGGATGAGGAGTAAATACAATAATAAGGAAACAAAGTAAGAAAGTAAAGAAGCAAAAAAAAAAAAGGACACTGGGATTTAATGTTAAAAAACACAAAATAGGAAAAAAAACATGAAGCCGCACCACACCAAGAAATCCTTCATGAAAATTGGGAGAAATAAGTACAAATCTCTCTTCTCTCTAGCTTTCTCATTGCTTCTCTTCTCACGTGCACCATTCTCAATTTCTAACCCTACCAGAAATACCAGGGAAAGCTGAGAAATAACCTCAAGGGACACAACCCTTCATAGAAATGAGAAAGAAAATCGTATAGTTCGTCTCGCAGTGCTGCGAAGCCAGTTTGGGGCACTGCGATGATGAAGCCTCTGTTTGATGATGCTGCAGCGCCAAATTTGTAGTGCTAGTGCGTCGACTCCATAGCATTGTGGTGCTCTACTCTATGTTGATCAGTGTTAGGACACTCGGGTACGCAGTGCTGAGGCGCTCGAATATGTAGAGGCAGGATGTTGTACGAAAAAAAAAGTATTGGGGTAAATCCCCCGCACCCCAAGCAAGCAGGACAAACTTAAGGTCCAAGGAAACAAAACAACCAGATTGATCAACACAATCATATTCCATAC